GGTGGGAGCCTCTCCCGCCTCCTCAGCAGCACTGAGGATGTCAGACTGCAGCTTAGGCCTGCTCCCCGCTGGCAAGTGAACATCCCCAGAGGCTGCCGGGCTGCCAGAGGTTGTCTAACTGCCAACTTAGGCCCAATCCCCCAGGGAGCAAGCCTAAGCCAGCAGGTGGTCATCCCCCGAGGGTCCCAGACTGAGAGAGGGCACAGGCCGGGCTGAGGGACCCCCCCCGAGTGCACAAATTTTTGTGCACTGGGCCTCTAGTTGTATTCATAAATGCAATATTAAAATTCTAAGGCACCTCTGGCTCTTAAGTGCAAAAACTTGAGTTCAAGCCAACCATTAAAGCTGATGATAAGCAGGACATTGGCTAAGGAATTATCTAATTGGATTTTCTCTGGTGATATTCTTTAACTACGTGACATTACCCTGAAACAGTAAAAAGCTAACATACAGTCTTTGGAAATGGAACATTTAAAAGACCTGTGTGTACAGTCGTGTGTGCGTGTATGTGTAGGTGTGTGTTTTGTGTGTGTGTGTGTGTGTGTGTGTGTGTTCAGATAGATGATAAATAGATAGGGAGAGAGAGACTGGGAGAGAAGGAATCATTGTTTTACTTCTACTAGTATCTCTTGCTTAAAATATACAATGTGGCCTCTGAGAATAATTCTTTTAAATAAAACAATTCATCAAAATAATTTAAATTGAAGTTTAAGAATGTAGAAAAGAAAAGCTTCTGCAAAGTTATTGATATAGAATGATTTTTGAAGCCAACCAAATAACAAATTTCTATTTGTGTTGGGAGAACAGAAAAGAACGAAAAATAGAAAAATTTGCAGTTACACAATAGGAAATCTTATCTGCACTCAAGATTTTCCTTGGAAATAGCAAATAAACTCTGATTCAGACTTGTTTTCACTCGTTTTTCTCTCTGCCTTCGGTTGCAAAACCAAACTCTTACTACTTCTTTCTCAAGATTCAGTTCTTCAGCCATCCTCATGATCTCCTGAGAGGAGGGTTTATTCTGTTCTCCAAAGTGTCTCTCCAGGGCACCTTTTGCAGCAATGCTGGGAAACCGGGTTGGGGAGCAGGCGGTGGGGGTGGGGAGACAGGGTAAGATTATGTTTTTGGCAGATCAATATTAAATTAGGTTGAATTTTTAAGTATTAACATGAAAATAAAACTTAAATACTCTTAAAACATTTTAAAACTCTTCGACAAAGATAGGTGTATGATTTGTCATATGTTTAGATACTTGTCTTTTGCAGGGTACCATTCATTACCAGGCACGGGAAGAAACAAGTAGAGACTTTCTATGTTTATCCCGCTTTGCACCACAAGAGGGCACTGACTTCCTGGGAAGGAAGAGAACACTTCTGTAGGCGTTTCTAAAGGTCCTCCAGAAATCATTTGTCATTTACAATAGATGAAATGTTCAGTGAACAACTCACCAACCAAAACAAAACCTACATTTTAGCATTTCCTCTGTGAGCCTCATGGAGATTACAAAAAAATCAACAACAATCTTTCTGGTTTAAATTGTAAGAAGTCACCTTGCACTTTAAGATTCTAAAATACTGATTACTAATTTTGTTATTTTTAATGACACAAATGCCATATTGCCAGCGCAAGACTTATATATAACAGGAAAGTAGAAATAGTCACTATTTTTAGAAATGATGGCTCAGTTTCTGTTTTATTCAAAACTTGTAGAGCAAACGTGTTCTTGAATCAAACAATACATAGTATTCCAACAAATGTTTAAAATTAATAGCTCTCCACTTCTTACTATTAAGTTATTGAAATCTGCTTTTTAAAATATATTTTGTATTTTTCAATTGGCTATATCCACCTTAAATTTATATGTTATGTTGCACCTATATTATGCTAAGAGCTTATTCCATTTGTAAAATGTCCTTTTCTTCCTCTAGAGACATTTAATATCTCAAAAGCATACCTTATAGTTGTTCTCCGTTTCCTTTTCCTTTCATTTACTCCCACTTTTTCATTGTATAAAGCTGTAATGGGGAAAAGAGGGATAATTACAGAAACCAAGTAGGGTTTAAAACAACAAGTCAGATTTGGATTTCAAATGTTCATTATAAAGCTATGCAAAATAAAATCACCATACATTTTTTAATTTTTTTGCAACCTATGACATTTTGTATTACAAGTCCTAGATAACAAGGTTAATACAGAAACAAATATTAACTTTGCAAAGACAATTGTCTATAAATCATATCTCTATTTGCTTTTGTTGGAACTCTTGCTCTCAAAACTTGCTCTTTATCCAGCCTTGACATATTAGTATAAGTAGATCATTTTCTCACATTAAATCGCTCATTTGACAATTGCTTGTGCTATTCACTTGGAAAACTCGTGTGTGAAAATGCTCTGGTTACACTAGTATTAGGTTAAAAAACGATTGCATGTACAATCACTATAGTATAGCATAAAGGTAAGAAAAAAGTCTGAATGTGTTTTAAAATTTTCATTTCACCGCTTCTCATCTATGCCACACAGTCCGGAAAGCTGTCCTCACGCAGCTGATCCTCTCACCGTTTACCATCGCAGTAAATTTATTCCTGCACTTGCATTAGCCTTCCTTTCTTTTAGTGTGATGAAACAAGACAGTTATTCTTCATCTCAAAGAAAAAAACACAAAACTAAACCTCAAACCTCTCGCTTTAGCAATATTCCTACCAATCGATGCCACTGTTTTTAGGTTAAAACGTCCCAGAGCCTTCAGAGATGCAGCGTTAGTACCTCCCACTTGCTCAGCCTCCTCCAGCCACTTAGATAATATTGCTTTTAGTTTGCATGCATTTTTGAAGCTGAGCTGCAGGTTTTCAAATCGGCAGATAGTTGTTTGACTGAATTCCGAGCCATGCACAGCTGCCAGGGCTTCCCCAACATTTGTTTGGGTGTACCCTGCGAAAGGAAAATGAAGGCCATTAGCTTCAGCTCTCAGGAATCATTCCTTTTGGTGCAAGATTGCATACATCTGCGAATCTTTGTCAATTGTTCAATACCACTTTTAAGCATATATTTGTTGGCAAATAATAATTTTTTGTAAGGGTCAGTGTAAAATTGCCTGTACTTCAAAAAAAATATTATTTCTAGTTAATTATTTAAAAATCATTCAGATAGGAATATCTGCCATTCATAATTTTTAGCCAGATTGGATAGATGAGTCATTAGATCAGTGATGGCGAACCTTTTGAGCTCGGCGTGCCAGCATTTTGAAAAACCCTAACTTAACTCTGGTGCCGTGTCACATATAGAAATTTTTTGATATTTGCAACCATAGTAAAACAAAGACATTTTTGATATTTATTTTATATATTTAAATGCCATTTAACAAAGAAAAATCAACCAAAAAAATGAGTTCGCGTGTCACCTCTGACACGCGTGTCATAGGTTCGCCATCACTGCATTAGATACTTAAAAATTCTTGTATTCTTTGTTATTATTATTAAATATCTGATGAATATGCTCAAAAGTCTATTGTATATTGAATATAATGCATAAAATAAATGGTGCTTTATCATAAATATTTTTTCTCAACTGTTAAGAGTGAAAAAAAATCAACTATATGTTGAAGGGTTCCAAGTAAAACTAAAAATTATGCTTACTTTTTCTAAAAACATGTCTATTATGAGACTTTAATCACTCAACATTTTATAAACACCTCCAAGCACATTTGTTACATCATTTGGTAATGCTTCTATCTCCTGGCAAAAGATTCTCATTGATTGGAACATTTTTAGAATTCAAGTTGCTATGAACCATCAATATTGAATTTGAACCATTCACAGCAATAGATATATCAAACTGCAAATGAATGTTTTAAATTGCCTACTGCCATGTTTATTGCATATTGTAACTACATATTAATTCAGGGCCTACGGCTATATATATACCTGTATTCATAAAATGGTTACATATGACACCCATGGATAAATATTATTACAAAATAACCTGTGGTTCATTCCACAACTACAGAAGTTTGAACTATCATTTTCAAACCCTTTTTGAAAAATTCACTATTTCATGAATTTAAATCAAGGTTAGTTGTTTCAGTTATTTTGTTAAAAACACTTTTCAATAGAAAGTAAACAAAGGCTATGAACAGACAATTCACAGAAACAAAATTGCAAACGACTGTCAAACACATGACAGAAACTACCATGAGGTACGACTTTGAGCTCTTTGATTTGCAAAGATCTAAAAGATTAATTGCATTTTTTCCTTCAATAACTATTTAACTATCCTATGTGCCAGTCACTGTTCTAAGTACTGAGGATATGTCATTAAGGAGGAAACAAAAGCAAACAAACAAACCAACAACAAAGCACCCCCGCTTTCATGGAGGTCTGTGGGACCCTTACAGGGACACTCAGGATGGCAGTACATGTGGTACAATGCCGACACAGACAAGTTTGACAACGTCTATCAAAATTACAAGTACTCCTACTTTTTGATCAAGCAATTTTGTTTTTAACACTTTTCCTGCACTTATATCTGTATAGGTACAAAATGACATTTATGAAGTTAATGACTGTAGTATTGTTTTTAACAGAATAATATCAGAGACCACATAAATTTACCATCACTAGAGGACTGGTGAAATAAATTGTAAAATGGAATATGACATATTCATTTTTTAAAAAGAAAGCTGGCTGGAGTGGCTCAGTTGGTTGGGTGTCATCCCAAAAGGTTGCCAGTTTGATTCCTGTTTAGGGCACAGGCCCAGGTTTCAGGCTCCATCCCTGGTAGGGGGTGTGCAAGAAGCAGTTGATTAATCAATGTTTCACTCTCACATCAATGTTTCTTCTCTCTCTCTCCTTCCCCCTTCCTCTCTTGCTCTAAAAAAAAGAAGAAAAAATCAATAACCCTGGCCAGTTTGTTCAGTGGTTAGTGTTGGCCCACAGACCAAAGGGTCTCTACTTCAATTCCCTGTTCAGGGCATGTACCTTGGTTCTGTAGCCCTGGTAGGGACGAGTGTAGAAGGCAACCAATGATGTGTCTCTCTCACATTGATGTTTCTCTCTCTCTCTCCCTCCTACTCTCTAGAAATCAATGGAAAAAAATATCCTTGGGTGAGAATTTAAATAAATAAATAAATAAATAAATAATCAATCAATCCTTAAAAAGAAAACCACAAACTAATATGGAAAGCTCTCCAAAATAGTTAAATAAAAAAAAATCTGTATGAAGAAATAAAAATATGTATTGATTTATATATGCATAAATACCTCTAAAAGGATACACAAGAAACTAACAACATTGAAAAACAGGAAAATCAAGCAAAATGGATATGTTTTATATATATTCTTTTATGATTTTGAATAATATGAATGCATCATTTATTCAAAAGTTCAAATAAAATACTGTGTAGAGAAAACTGGGTACTTCTAAACTAATTTGAGGTGGTTAAGTTGAAAATAAGTGCCATTAATTTAAAAGTCTATGTATTTTGGCTCTCAAAAATTTACAAGGAAATACAGGTCTTTGTAGGGTTTTCACACTTGGATTAATTAAATCCACAGTAGAGATGGAGAATGAGAACTGTCTAGGACTTTTGAGCAGAATAGAAGAGATTGAACAGTTATACAGTAAGGATCTGCAGACCAAGTGCATACCTAACTTAATTCTTCTCACTTTAAATTCATTGGCAAACTTTTCAAGTTCTCGAATTTCCGGGGAATCCATGTCTATTGGCTCTTCAACCAATTTACTTTTCCGCCTGAGTTCCTGCTTGAAATCAGGGGCCGTGGGGTCCTCTGCCAGGAGAGGCTGGTGCATGGGTGGAAAGCCATGGCTCAAGGTGTGGTCAGGAAACTTATAGAGACAAGGGGTTAAGCTGCCTGTAAGGAAACAAAGAAAGAAAATAAAGGGCCATTTGTAACTACCCACCACTTCTATACAAGCAAGGGTTTTGCCCATTAGATCCCATTATTCTGCCACAGCCAGTCTGGATTCTAAAAAGTTAACTGCCATTCAGTCGTCTGAGGTCAGAGTAGCTTAGTATAAATGCGATTATTTATTTTCCACCTTCCCCAGAGCAACAAAAGCAAAGATAATGCCAAAGAAAATAAGCCTGGAATTGCAAATATTTAAAACAGAAATAAGCAAATACTTTCCGAAGTGTAAGTTTTTCACCATTTTCTTTTTTAAGAAGACACACATTCCTGGGAATTTGAAGTTCAACTCCAGCAGAATGTATATTTTGATATCTATTATCTTAATCCATTGAACAAATAATCTGTGATGTTTTTTATAATCAAGTGACATGGTTAAGTGCTATGCTGGAAAGTTTTCTTAGGATCAGAAAATTGATTTTACAATAGTTAGAAGCCCAACTGTTTCATCAATAAATGTTTAACTTCACAGAGAAATAATTATGTCTTTTTAAAAATGTAACAAGAGCAGATAAAAAGAGAATTATGAGAACATAAACTACATTAATATGTTTTAAATATATTTGAGGAGTAGACATTAACAAAAGGTAACTTTTAAAGTTCTATTAAAAAGTCAGCAACACGATTTTTTTGAAAAGTATTCAATATAGTGAAATTATTCTTGATAATTTTTAAGAAGCAAAAATAAGTGACAAGGAAGAGTGCAATTCTGGATATGACAGGTAATCACCTATGAATAATAAAGCATTGTGTTGATTGAGTAGGTTAAATAATAAATCACAAAAACTAAAATATGTAAACATGTTTAAATTGCTTCCAGATTTCATTCTTTATTAGTAGAGAAGAGTCTGTCTCAGTTGGGAAGCTTGGGTGAGAGAATATAAGCCAAATTCCCAGACACTTTATTTTGGTTTTCTTCATCAATCCATTAAGTTTTAATTGTAGGTATTTCACTTCAATTTATATTAAATAACACATGTGTAACCAAGACACTTTGATATAAATAAAATATTTAGTAATTAATCATGTTTCTGAGTATTAATAAATATTTAAACTGAAAATAAATTACTACAGACTATATGCAATAGTAATTCTTAGAAACACTGAAAATATACATTGAGTTTATACTACTTATAATTTCTTCATAAATAAATTCACAAATCAAAGACATGAGTAATAATGTATTTTGCCAGAATGTTAAGATCTTACATTAATATATCAATATGTAATGAGTAAAAGAATAGTGTAAGTCAGCAAATTGTCAGCTATTATTTATATGAGAATATGTAATTATAAAGTGGACCCCTATCCAATAGACTATATTCATTTTCTGAAGCAAAGTGGACATGTATGTGAGAGATTAAACAAAAAGCATAAAATAAATTTAGATGTTTCACAGGTATGAAAAATATTTGAAAGAAGTAATTCCTATCTAAAAAAATTTCATGGTACTTTACAAACCCAAATTATCCAGTTTTACTTTTTAGAAAGTCAGTTAATCATCCAATTAATGCTTTAGTGGATATTAGAGTGATCAAAGAAGATAAAAATGTTCGGAACAATTGTATCAATGTTTAATTTATTACATAGTTTATTTTTGGAAATGTTTATTATTTTGGGATTCATTTTTAGCTTTCTATTAATTTTGGATTTTTTGTTAGTTGAAGTAAAAGAAAGATTCATACATACAAGAAGACAACTCATCACATTTATTTTGGCATCTAGTTAATATTTATCTCAAGACTTTTCTTTCACTTATGCTTTCAGAGTTGGTTCTTCTATGTTAAAGAATTATACTTCTTTCATCACTCAGAAATATCAAATGCAACTTAATACACTTAATGATGAAATACTCTTAGAAACAATAAAAGCAGAGACAAGAAAATCAAGCTGCTGTTTGATTTTGCACATTTAATGTATTTTAAGTTTCTTTAGATAACTCGTTTAACCTATGTCAAATTATGTTTATTTTACACTAGAGGCCCAGTGCATGAATTCATGCACAGGTAGGGTCCGTCTGGCCCGGGCCAATCAGGCTGGGGGAACGGGACATGGGAGGTTGGCTGCTGGCCGGGCCCACTCCCAATCAGGGAGGTGGAGCCAGCCAGGGTGAGGGGCCACGGGCCGTTGGCCAGCTGGCCCTACCCCCCAGTCAAACTCCTGGTTGAGGGGACAATTTGCATATTAGGCTTTTATTATATAGGATAAGTAATTTTTGCATATATTTTACATGAGATGCCCTAAGGTCTGACGTGGTTAGCAATCTTGACCATTCCATTTCATTTTTTTTTGCTGATCATAGCCACACACTGCTACAAGCTTTCTGGGACACCTCATGCTGGGTTCATTACACTTTTCTCATTTTCTTATTCTTATATAAACAAATGAGGTAGGAAGAATTTACAATTTTTTTACCCAAAATTTAAAATTTAGGAAACTTAAGTAAAAGTAAATTAAATGACTTTCCTTGGATGCCATAAAGAATTAACTATACAGTTGAAATTAGAACTAAAATCCCATGAACATTGCAATAAACCCCATCAAAATCTCCACTCAGGTAGATCAAATTCTTTCTTTAAAAGACTTCTGCAGTTTAAATTCATTAGTCTACATTAAAACAAATATTTTCAGACAAAAATATTATAATTATGTATTAAAATATTAGAAGTGGGCCATCTCTATTTCCAGAAAATGTTAAAGGTATTTTATACATTATAAATTATCTGGAAAACAAACATTCAGAAAGTAAATTTGATCATGAGTCTGAAAAGTGCACAGGAAATGCCATGTTCAAAGGCTTGGCATCCAGAGCAAAAAGGAAAACGTGTGATATGTCTTTATTTTTCATTAATTGAAAGTATCCGCAATTATCCACAGGGACACAGTTTTTCTGGAACTAACCCTAAACAGAAATTCATAATGAGTCATAAGCACAGCCAAACACAGTACATTTTCTATTCTCTGATCCTGTATTTGGGGGAGAGGAGGGATTGATCAGTATGGTATATGTGGCAAGATATTTTTAAAATATTCCTAAAGCTTTGCCCCCACTGGCGTAGCTCAGTGGTTGAGCATCCACCTATGAACCAGGAGATCACAGTTCGATTCCCTGTCAGGGCACATGCTCAGGTTGAGGGTTCGATCCTCAGTGTAGGTTGGGCTCGATCCTCAGTGTAGGTTGGGCTCGATCCTCAGTGTAGGTAGTGCGGGAGGCAGCCATTCAATGATTCTTTTTCATCCTTGATGTTTCTATCTCTTTCTCTCCCTTCCTCTCTAAAAATCAATAAAACATAATTTTAAATACATATATATATATATTTCTAAAGCCTAGATAGGGAAAAAGCAAGGTAAACGATGCTGTGACTTCTGTACAATGGTGAGTCTCATATTCAACTTCCCAGAGATTAATAAAGCAAAGTTGTCTGTAAGCCTAGACAAGCACTCATCTAAATAGCTTGGAAGTGTCTGCATATTCTTCACAGCCCAGCTATATTTTCACATTGCAAATGAATCTACTACAGCCTTGCTGAATTGCTCCAAATGTGTCTCTGTCTGGGGGAGCAGAGGTGAATCTTTAAGGCAGGCAACGGGGATGAGGAGGGCTCGCCTTGCAGGGCGCTGGTTCAATGTACCGTGGTACCCGGGCAAATTGCGCTCCTGCAGCATGTGGCTCTGACAGATGCTGACAATGTCTCTGAGGTCACGGGCTTGAAGCCTTAAAGGAACAAACACAGGAAGTAGAGAAACAAAGCAAAATACTCTGCCTTGAAGAATGTGAATTTGAATATTTCTATTTTCTTCCTCCCCCGCCCCGCCCCGTGCATGACGATGTGAAGAAAATTCTAAGTTTGAATTGTGACCTTTTCTCTTTTGGGTACTGGTAAATCCTGTCCGTGTACAACAGGAGTCCTCTGCCGGGCTTTGTAAATTAAGTTTATTTGGAACACAGCCACGCCCATTTGTTTACATACTGCCTGTAGCTGCTTTCCTGCTACCACTTGAGTAGCTGCAACAGAGACTAAAAAAACAGGGAAAATAAATCAGGTTACAGCCACTGAGAGGCCCTTCATGATTCAGAGGCAAAAGACCTTCAGTATTACTCCTTCCCTCAGAGTCAACACAACCAGAACAAGTTAGGGGGAGGGGGGAAGAAAAAAAAAGAAAATTTGAGAATGAAGAGATGAGCTCCAAAGTAGGCTATTTCTTTTTCTTTCTTTTTTTAATTTTGTTTTATTGCTTAAAGTAATACAAAGAGTATTACATATGTCTCCTTCCCCCCCCCCCTTGACATTCCAACTAGAGTGGGCACTTTCAGCCATAGTCATCTTTTCTTTATTATCTGCTCATTAAAGCAAAAGGGCATTCATGTTCTTGATTGATTCCCAAACCTCAGCTATTTTGCTTTCCTCTTAAAATTAGTTTTTAAACAAGGACTCTCATACCAGGTCTTGGTTTGGACGTTATGTAATATAACCCTGCTGGGTTAAACATGAAGTACCATGGAGCTGATTTGCTCAGTTTCACAGGCGGGTGGGCATGGGGGGGCAGGCAGGGTGGACATTCCATTGAGCTTGTTTTCTTTCAGCTCGCTTAGGAAACTAGAGAAGAGAAACAATTCCAGACACCCAAGAATCAAAGTTTTGAGAGTGTTTGTTGTTGATTTATTTTGTTTAGGAGAGATTTTGAATAACATTTATAATTCCCTGGTTGCTGCTATCAATACTGCAGGCTGTTGAATTATCTAAATTCTCAGAAGTAAAGAGACAGAAGAAGGAATTCAGCTGCAAGGGTATCTGAAGAGAAGAGCAAAAGAGAAAGACAGGTTGAGTTGGTTAAAATTGGCCCCAACTCAACTCTAATAGGGTTGTGATATCCATTCAACTTAAATATGAAGAGACTAAAACTTAAAGATGTTAATGGCTTGAACAAGGCTCAAAATTAGTTTATGGTGTGGCTAACTCATTGCTCCCAATTAGTCTGTCTCTTTGGACCAGGAGGCACAGCGAATTAATCTGATAATTAATGTCCTCCCTACTAACAAAGTATTGGCTATAGCTTTTTCTTTTCAGTGGGTTACTCATTTAATGAAATGCTCAAACTAAATGTAAGCATCAGAGTCTAGGTAATAAAATAACCACATTAAAATAAAGCAATACCACATCCTTTGAAATATAGCACTTTCTGTAGCTCCACTTTTATATGGAATAGGTGACAAGCAACTGCCTTTGTTCTTGATGATAAGATGCTTCCATGGATTGTGTAGAGGTGGTTTATTTGATGAACGCCTTGAGACTACTCAGAAAATTCAAATGACATAACCGGGTTTCTCTTTTGTGTTTTATACCTCTACTATCTTATTTCTGAATTCGTGTGTTTTATAACTCAATTTGTGTAGCTTCTCTGGGGATAAATGCAGGAGAGTTCAGATTCTCTGACTTTAATCTGCAGTGATGCAAATGCTAATACTGAATATATGTCAAAATAGTGACATTCATACAAATTAGAAAGCATATCACATTTTAATGATAGCACTCTCAAAATATATTTGAATATAATCTCTGTGCTTCCTGGGGAGTTTTTCTTGACGTAACAAACATATTTAATTTTGTTTTAAGACTACAGTGATACCTCCAAATCTTAGGGTAACATTTTTGCTTTTGATGTCGCCAACCCAGGCTTTGCATTACTTTAAAGTGTTTTCCAGGGGCCTCTCTGGGTTTGCTGCGTGCCTGCCAGGAACCTCGCACCAGCACAACCTGAGCTGCCTGAGCTTGTTCACTCCAGTCCTGGAAACAGGACGAAAGTTAGAATTCTCAGGCCAGCTGGGAACTCACTAGCCTGCAGGCACTGGCCTTGATCTGGTGGGAAGGAAGGTGGTAGTAAAATCCGTCTTAAAGTATTTGGTCTGTGGCTGATTTTATCTTTGTGCTGACTTCGGTCCATCGCTGCCTGTTGCTGGGTTTTGAGGGTGCATGAAGCCGCACTTGGCTCCAGGGGTATCGCTGTGAATGAAAAGCAAGGCCTCTGCTCGGAAAGAGCAGCACAGGACCACGTGCTTGTCAATCCCTGTCCTCATAATCAAATGCGGGGGAGGCCCAGGGAAGCATTCTGCCTGCACCTCTAGTGGCTAAACGCGTGTCATTGTACTCTTCTATAAAGAATGAGTTTCTCATCAATGAGGGCTGTTCTCATTAACCATGAATACTGATTACTGAGTGTCTGAATCATAAGTGATCACTTTTCAAAGGGGAAGAAAAAAAGTATGGCTTTCCTTATCCTATATATAAAAGAGAAACATGCAAATTAACCATCCCTCTGCTATGCTCAAGCCACACCCACAAGCCAATCAGGAGTGAGTATGCAAATTAACCCAACTAAGATGGCGGCAGCCACGGAGCTGGAGCAAGCAGGAGGCTTGGATTGCCCCTGGTGATGGAGGAAGCCAAGCCTCCCGCCTGCCCTGGCCGGGCCTGGGCTCCCTCAAGGCTACAAAGTTTCAATTATAGAAGATAAATAAATCCCAGAAAAAAAAAAGAAATAAAGGAGAGGCTGGGAGCTTGGGTTGCCAGGGGGGCATGGCCAGCCTGAAAATGGCCCTCAGCCCCTCACCCAGGCTGGCCACACCCCCATGGGGTGAGGGTCCCTGCTGGGGGGCTTGACCAGCCTGAAAACGGCCCTCAGTCCCTCACCCAGGCTTGCCAGGCACCCCAGCAGGACCCTCACTCTGATCCGGTACATCCTTCAGGGCAAACCAGCCAGCCCTCATCCGTGCACACAGGCCTCTATCTACACTAATAAAAGACAAACATGCAAA